GCCTTTTCTTCATTTCTTATTCTTATATCTTTCAGTATTCTATAAGGTTCTGAATTCTTATGTTATATTTTCCAGTCCTAATTTCTAGCTGTTGTCCTAATTTACAGTATTCATGCACATTGCTATTTCTCTTCCTTTTGCTGAGATTAAAATGAAAAGATGGATTCAAAATGGTCAATGACTTCTTTTTGTTTATTATTACGAAATAAAATCATGCTTCACTGCTCACCAGGAAAAATAGATTGTTTAACTTAATACCGTGCTAACTGAAAATATTTCAATAAGCTCTGTCAATGAATCATCAAGTTAATAAAGTTATTTAAGAATGTCTGTTTCACCTGCCTTCATGTATTTTTTTAAGACTGTCTTCAGTGAGTTATAATTAATAACTATAACACGTCAAAGCTTACTAGCTTTTCTACCCTAGATGCTTTAAGAAAATTTTCCATATTACACTGACCCATTGTATACTTTTAAAAAATACTGAATCTTCCTGATTTGTTTCTTACTACAAACTGAAACTTCACAATTTTTGTGGCAGACAGAAAATGCACCTAAAGAATGAGACTTTTTAATAGCTCTGACTTCCATAAATGTCTTCATCTTTATGATTATAACCTAAGAATTTTTCCCGTATTAAAATCTCAGTTAGAAGCATGACTTGCCTAAACTCAGATTAAACTCGTTAAACAGCAAAAATATGTTTTGTTTTAATATAAAAACAATCAGATTATTTAGAATTTTCAACTTTGCCATAGGACTGGGAGGAAGAAAGTGATCTTTCTTTCTTTCTTCCTTTTTTCCTTTCTTCTTTCTTCATTTCTTCCTTTCTTCCTCCCACTTTCTGAAAAGTAATTATACAAATTTCCAGAGTCTTTCACTCTCTAAAAAGTATTTTTATCAACCTTTGAAGTGCAACTACACATCTTCCTCCAGAAAAGCAAATGTTCAGAAAAATCTAGTCACTTCAGCCAATTTTTCATCACAAGGACAAGTAGACTATAAGAATGGAGAAAATTCTAGCCTCTCAATTGAAACTAAGCAAAAAGTCTTGAAAATTGCAGTCTACTATGTCCTTGTAAGAAATAATTTCCTTTGCATGGCTTGCTAGTCCAAAGATTTCTAGAGAAAAAAAAAAACTCTTTTCTCTGTCATCGGTCAGGATTGGCTGTGGGTTTTACCAGTGCCTCATGAAAGGCCTCCTGCTGCTTATATCTTATGTTTTCAGGGAGCTTTCAAAGCCAGTGGCACTTTGGTGCTGCTGAAAGCTTTTCTTCTTCCTCTGTCTTGTCCTCTTATGCACTGGCACCACCGAGTTGTTTAATATTTAAGTGCTTTTTTGCACCCAGAATAGCTCCCAGTCCATTCAGCAAGCACCTCTGTCTCAGATAGCATCAAGCAGCTGCATTCAGTGCACCCACCCTCAGCTCAGTTCAGATTAACACAGCTGAGGGGTCAGTAAGTCCCAAGTCATGGTGCAGGATCTTGTGTTGAGTGGATTTTTCTCTATTTTCCCTGTACTGCATCCCCAAACCATCCCTCTGGTGAGCAGGCAGAGGTGTTCCAGAGGAAACAACAAAGCAATGTTTCCTCCTTGGCATAAGATCGTGCATTGCCCAGTACAATTTGCTTCCATACATTAGACAAAGAATGCATCCTTAGCTAAATATATTTGGACCAATGTTCTACTGAAACTTTAAGAATAAACAGAGATATTGCATTCTTTCTCAAGTAGAATACAAATAACATAAATTTAGAATGACTCAATGCATTTTCTTCATCTATAGTCTTGACCACTTTCCTTTAATGTCTTTTCCAGAAAGATAAAAGGACATTAAAATTAAAAATTTTTATGCTTAGAAAAAAACTATAGTTTTCTGTATGGGATCTTACAAAATGCCATTAAATACTTCTGTTCATTTACTGGACAGATTATACAAGTAATACTGCCCTGTCCAAAAGATGTGTTGCTAACTGTGGCAGTGAATGGGACATTTGGAGCTAGCAGGGAAAATGGTTTCCTTTTCATAAACCAAAATCCTCAGTTTGCTGCTCTGTAGAGAAATCCCAAGCCATGACTTATTTTATCTTTCATTTTGGATTCACTTCCTGAAAGAATCATTTCGGATGTTTATGAGTAGTTTTGTGATTTATAAGGAGAAATAGACAGAAGAGTAAGATTAAAGAAGTAAAACTGGGATATAAAATAAATAAAAATAAGCTAAATTATTTTTGAGGGAAAGAGAGAAAGAAAGAAGACACAATTATCACTCTAAAAATTCCATGATCATTGATTAATAAAAGAGAAGAATTTCATAAGTGTCAGTACCCTGAACCCAGAGGGACCAGGCACAATACTTCTGACAACATATTTTTGAAATATATATGTGATACAGTGTGCATATTTGGAGAGTTTGTGTCCCAGAGGAGAAGGCTGCATCTATACCTTTGGCATAGAACTTTGCTGTCCTGAATATATGCTGAAGATGTCTGTTCTGTAGAGTCACCTCTACAACCCTGGAGCTACTCTAAGCTGAAGTAGATTAATATATTACCAATGAAATCAACAGATCTCTGCCAAGTTACATTGACTGAGGTACCAAAGTTGCTGGAGGAGAAAGAAATGGCCCAGGTGTCCCAGAAAACAGAAAAAAATTAAGAAAATGCAAATCACTTGAGGGCACATCAAAACACACACAAAAAACTCATCTTGCTTTGCACCAGGTTCTTACAGAAAATACTGAAGTGCTTTACAGCAACTGCAGTACATCCATGAAGGATTGAGTTCCTATAGTTAGCCAATTAATACAAAACAGCAGAATGAGTTTCTATAAATGTTCATTCATTTACTTGTGACTTGCTGGCAGACACAAATCAAGTAATCTGTAAACAAAATAATAGAAAATGAGGAGACAACCATACTTTAGGATGAATTCTTATCTTACCATACTCTGTGTGTAACCTCATTGTTCTCAGCAGCAGTCAGTTGTTTCTTGAATAAACACAGTTTTGGAAAACAGACTCCTAGATAAGCAATAAACACTCTGCTTTTACAAATTATTATAAATAATAATTCACCTCCCTTCCAAACACTGTCCTTATACCTACTTGGATAGAATTGTTCACAAAAAAAGCTAATATAAACTTTAAGTCTTGAACCTATAATATAAAATAAAACTTGAGCATATAGTTGGCTTTACAGCATAGACTGAATTGTATTGCCTTATATTTATGACAAGTTGTCAGGGAATTACAGTATGATTATGTGATATAACTGGTCAACTGAATGTCTTACTATGGAAAAAATTCAGCAGGTGTCCTGGTCATAATTTCTAAAATATTTTTAGATTGTATTGTAAGTATGTCAGCCTGCAGCTAGATCAACAGGACACAGGTCATTTGTTGCTTCTGTGCTCTATCTGCTAACCTTGCCCTGATGTTTCCTTTACCTTAGATAGTGTGGCATGGCAGTGGATGCCTGCAGATTGGCAACTGCATTATATCCCATATCTCCATCGATTATAATCAGAACATACGCATTCAGTTTACTTGCAGACAGCTGCTTTGAAAAAAAATTATTTTATGCTTTTGCATCTTGAGTTGATGCCCAAACACAAGTTAAACACAGCACTGAAAGGAATTTAAACAATAGCATAGAAGTGCCTTCCCATAGAGCAATTTGGGTTAAACCCAAATGCCTGCTAGTTTAAAGCAAGTTAAATGACTTGTGATTAATTTAACCCATGGCTAAGAGTGACTAATCAATCTTCTAGTGTAATTAAAAGCAGAAAGGTGTGGCCAGAAGAATTGCAAAATGATGCTCAGTTAATGGCCAGGGCAATGATAACTGGGGTCTCCAGAAACCTATAAAAAATAGATTCAGCTCATCCAATTTTAGACATTGAGTAGACCTCTCCATCTGAGTTAGACACTAAGCTTCTTTTTTATTCGACAGAGAGAAATACGAACAGGTAGGGCAAAGTTCATCTTTCCTAGTTTATTAGTCTACATTAGGTAGAAATAAATGTCTTCCTAACAGTGCCTATTTCTCTTGACTGGCAATAAAAAGAACCTAGGGTAACTAGTTTAAATTCAAGCATCTACATCAGATCAGAGGACTCCCACCTGGGTGTCTGTAGATAATAGTGTGTCTTATATCACAGAGAAGCTCTGTACCATCTGCTCCAGACAGGCTTGTCTAAAGCTCCAACCCCACCAGAGGTAGCCTTTATCGACATGCCAATTATGGGAACAGCTGCATTAGTCCTTAAATTTGCCCTGCAGCTAGAGATGTCTAATCCCACCCAGTTATCTCATTATGACAAATGTTTTAAAATTGTAGTACCCACAAGAAGAGAAAGTGCAAACAGATTGAATAAAAACCCCATAAAAATTAATAATTGGTTCTCTTCAGCCATCCCAACATTTGCAATTGTAAAAAAGATCATGTATGGAAACAAGTACTATCATGAGGGAATATGAGCAAATACTATATATCCAAAATAAGAGACTTAAAGGAGGATTTAGAATTCGGATTAATCACAGTTAATTATATCAACAAGCATATCACAAAGCAAATGGGAAAGAGCATCAAAGGTAGTGAAAAAATATGCAAAATATTATCTTGTTTTGCTATCAGGAAAGCATTTAGCAAAAGGTATTTGTTCTGCTGTCATTGCAGTGTGTCTTTCAGCAGACTGAAAGTTTAAACCTGCTAGAAGGTACCCAGCCTGTTGTTTGGCAACACAAGTTGCCAAGGCAACAGAAGCCAGTGACACTTTTCCTTCTTTCTGATGGATTCTGCCACTAAAATACAGAAATCGAGGTCCTGAACTGAAATGATGTCTCTTAGGAAGACATTTTAGGATGTCATGAAATCCCTGTCTCATAAAAAAGGACAGAGGTATTCTGAAATATTAAATGTGTTTCTTTGTTTTGCCAACACTTATTGATGTGTCACAGTGCATTTCATTTATTGTGATGCTACTTGGATGGATGTTTGGAATTTTGACATACTGCTCAAAAGAATACTGAAGAGGGTACTGCTATTATTGCATTAGAAATCTTTATGTGGGAAAAAACAGGTAAGAGATTTAGACAACAGAGATTAAAATATATCTGTAGTTAACAATTTAAGATCTATTTATATCATCTTGCACAACTAGGTGCACATATGGAAAAACAGCAAATTTTTTTGTTGTACAGTTTGCAATGTTTAAATAACAGCTTCAAGAGAATGCTTTTTTAATTTTGGTTTGATACAAACAAAAAACATTCACTGAAGCATGGAAAATATCTGAAGGGAATAATCATAACTATCTTAATGTGAAAGAGAAAAATCTTAACCAGAATCCTTCCTCCTAGTGTAATGGAACTCTTGATTCATTCCCCAACTCTAACTCTTTTCTCTCCTAGCCGTAACTTTGCACACATTCCCCCTTGTTTAAACCCCACAAGATTTTCCTTTGTGAGTCATTACTCAGTTCAATGTAGAAATTCTTTTGAATGTTGCTTAAAGCTATTCTACCATTGATCTGCACAATGGCATGTCTCCCATAGCAGATGGACTTGCTTTCCTCTTAATAAATGTCCCAAATGTTTCCATATCCTTTTCAGGATAAATTTACAGAGAACAAAATTGTTCAATTAATTTAATTTTGTACTTTAAAAAAACTCTATAATTTTTTATTAAGGCATTTACTTTGAAAGTATTCCGATATCTTTATATAATGAGAGTGAAATCAGACTATTGCATCTTTCGATTAATACACAAATAATGCTTAATTTAAACAATTTTGTCTTCGGGTTTTAAAATTTTCTCTTGTCTCACTTAAGATAATAATTGTTGTTTCTTCATTGTCTGCTCATAATGTTATACAATTTTGAAGAAAAATACATTATCAAATGCATGAATACAGCCCACATTCCTGACATCAAATGAGTCATTCTATGTGTGAGCCAAGCATATGGATAAAAATTAGTTTACTGGAATGTGATGAAAGCAAACCTGTATCAAACAGCAATAGTTACATATGCACTACACCAAATTAGTTATTCCAAATGGCACTACAAGCAGTATGCAACCCCTTTGCATGTCACAAAAGCTGAACATGCTGTTTCCTTTAAAGCTGAGGCTTCATCAATAGCACTTACTTGACTCATGTTCCCTAAACAAACACAGGGTCTTAATGGAATCAGGTGAAAGAAGACTTTCAAGTGAATTGTCAGTAATAAGGAATGATGCACAATTAATGTCACAAGTATTTTTCACATTTTCTATCTAGTGTTTTTCATGTTAGAAAGTAAAATATAATACAAAAGTATCTGAGTTCAGAGCAGAATTACAGAATGGAATGCTTAGAAAATTAATTTAAGACGTACACAGCAACAAAGGAGAACAGTAATTCAGAAGTCTAAATGACAAAGTAGAACTTGGAAATCTTTTATGATGATTAAAGTAGTTTAAACTTGTAGATATGTTTAAAATTATTTGATATTTTTTCTATGTCAGATGTCTATACAAATAGACATATATTTAATATATTAAATATTAGTAATGCTATCATTTTTTCTTGCCTAAAATTCACATATAATTTTATAAGTGTTGCTGTTGAGGTCTTAAGTAGTTGAACACAATTTTTGATCCAAGTAGAATACAGTAACAAATCAAAGAGTGCAATTTTTTGTTACAGTGTTTTTGTCTTTTGAAACTGCTTTTCAGGCACTGTTTGCTGCAGAAAATATGTCCAGAAAGCATCATATGTTCCGTGCCCTCAAACAGAATGAACCAATCATTCAAATTCAAATATCAGTCTCTGAGGCATACATTTATCTGCTTACCCCTGATGGAACACTGGGGTTTTAGCTTCAACTTACTGCTTCCTTCTAAACTATTTTTTTGGGGGGAAAAAGATGTAGCTCCCTACATATTATATTTGTATCCCAAAAAATCATGATAATGGAAATGAAAGTTTTAGGCTTCAAACTATTTGGCTGAAAACCTTTCAGGCAAGAAACTGAAAGTAAAAGCTAACTTTAATAAGGAATATTTGACTAGTAGTCAATCTAAGCCACTGTTAGCCAACAATAATGAAGAATTTTGGAAAAACCCAAAATAAAAATAACAATTATAAAGCATGGGTGATGTGACAAGAAGAGAGAAATAAATGTTAGCAGTGTGAAGAATTGAAACGGCACCTTGTATATGGAAAATTGCTGCTCTATCAAGAGTAGATGTCTGAACAGAACAATGAGGGTAGAGGACTGAAAATGAAATCAGAATGCGGGTTCTGACAACATCATGAAATGAGGGATGGACACAGTTTCTCCTGAAATAGTTTTTAAAATCTGATCAATGCAATTTGACGATAACATGCATATTTGCCTTGTGATACATTTGTTCCATCCTGTAGTACAGAATGAAAATGTCCTACCCTTGTTGGCACATGGCTTGTGTGCTCTCTGGAGTCACACATTAAACCAGAGTACCTATTCACCCTTATTCTGAGGGTATAATTTCCCACCTCCTCCACACACCAGCGTATAAATAGACTGAAAGTGCCCCTTCAGCCTCCAATTGCTGACTCCTCTTTTAAATCTAGTTAATCACGGATCTTGACTATCATCTTTGGTTTCATGCATTAAATTTTCTTGAAGAATAGGATAACTGGGTACCTAGAAATTAGAAGAAAACAATGAACAAATAATGAGAAATTTTTAAGAGAAAACGGAATAATTTTTTCTCTGTTTATATGAAATAATTAATGATATAATCATCTACAAAAACAGTTTTTAGTTATCCAGGTATTTTTATTTATTTCTTAAATATTGGTTTTCTCCAAATAATTTTAGTAGTCTTAGTAAGAAGGAAAAAATCATTTGTATACATTTATCTCTTTATATTTGTTTATGTACACACCTATTTAAAATCTCTTGGCTTAACAGGTTGTTTCTTCTAATATTATTTAAAATTTGAAATTAGTTAAAGAAAAATTCTTATGTAATCTATTTGCTGGTCATAGAACTATGTGAATCCTTTTACTATTCTACACAAGTATATTTGAAAGCTCAAAGAACCTTTTGAAGTTTTTACAAGAAAACTATTACAGGTAGATAAATTAGAAAATTATGCTCAAGTATATGAATATGTAAAAATAGACTAATTTTTATTTAGAAATTGAAATTAACATTTTTGTTACTAGTCTCAGTATTTTCCACCATTATGTATAATTTACAGGATAGCAGATACTAGCAAATGATATTCAAGTACAGAAAAATATTAGATTTTAATAAGGTCTGAATTCTAAACATAAATGTACATATTAATAATTATTCCTGGTCCTTTAGATATGAAAAGTTAAACTTTTAGTAAAACAAAAGACTAACACTTTAAGTTGATCTTACTTGGCTAATAATTCTGCAGCTGTACTGACTTATAACTAAGATCAACAACTGAATAGTTTATTTCTAGAGAATGACTATGCAACTTGACTGGTTGGTTGAACTTTATTTGTATTGTTGGTAAAGAATTTTTTATCACTTTAAAATGCTGATTTTCATCAAACCACTACTTTCAATCTTTAAATTGAATGAAGTTAGAACATGTTTTCTGAAAGTCTTTAACAATTTTTTAAGTACCATTGCGTTTTTAAATATGAACTGTTACATATGTTCCTATTTTCACAAGTTAGGCATATTTTAAACATGTTCTTACTTTAATATTGATTTTTTTTTTTGATCAGTGGTTATAGTAGGCTCACTGTGCTCTAGCACTGTAGTGACCATTTCTTACATGGAACTACTACAACAGGTTAAAATTTTCACACCTTGTAAAGCTCTAGACATCCATAAAGTAAATAAAATGCAATTAGCAGAGGTTGATGGCTTAATATAAAGATTTCTAATAGCATGCAGTCTGGAAAAAGTTGAAATTTACCTCACCAAGCAGTCATTTAGACCAGAAGGCAAAATTTTTAAGTTTAATTGCATATAGGTTTCTGAGTGTACATTTTACTGTTCTTGAAGACATGGCAAAGTTTCACACTAAGACACAAAGAAAAGTTTGATATTTTAAAGGACCTTTATTGGCTTAGCACTTCAACAGTATATATTTTATATGCCTATAAATGTCTGTTATACACCTAAAGAAAAAATAGTATTTGAATTGCGTGTGCTCTATGATACAGCTCATATATATCAGAGAAAGATGAAGAGGATATCATACCATCTAAATCTAGACTTACAACTGAAGTATTTGTAAACCAGGCTCTGACCGTGTCTCCCCTGGGCTATTCCAGTGGAATATCTGTTGAGGGGCTTATTCTGATAATGCAGTGCTCTTAGGGTTCTGTGTATATTAACTGTAGTACTACTAAAACATTGTGTAATGTTCAATTATAACTCTGAGATATTCCTCCTCTAAATTATTTTTAGAACTATTACAGAAGAACATAATATAATTCCTTCTTCAGCTCCGACAGAAATATTTACAGAACATAAATGGGTTCGGGATGAACACTTAGAAAAGTTAGGGTCATGTTACTTATTGCATAAGGAATTAATTGTCTGTGGCCAGAGTTGAGTTGAGGTTAATGGCTCTATGCCCAGGTGGTGGTCAGTGACAAGTAATAACACGCAGGGCTCTGTCCTGGGACTAGTGCCCTTCAATATCTTCGTCAATATCAGAGACAGCTTTGATCAAGTGCACCCTCAGCAGGTTTGAAGGAGACATGAAGCTGAGTGGTCTGGTTCACACAACTGAAGGATGGGATGCCATCCACAGGAACCTGGAAAAACTTGAGAAGTAAGGCCACAAGAACTTCATGGGGTTCAGCAAGCGCAAGTGCAGGTGCAGAACCTCTGTTGGAGCAATCTCAGATATGAGTACAGACTGGGGGATGAACAGATGAACAGTGGCCATTCAGGGAAGGACTTGGCTGTTCTAGTGGATGAAAAGCTCTGTATGGGTAGACAGTGTTCACTACAGCTCAGAAAGCAAACCACATCGTAGGCTGCATCCACAGCCCCTGTAATCTGCCCCTGTGAAAACCTGCCTGGAGTGCTGAATCCAGGTCTGAAGTACTCGGGCAAAGAAACACATGGATCTGTTTGGGTGGGTCCAGAGAAGGACAATGAAAATGATCTAATGGCTGGAGAACCTCTCCAATGAAGACAGGCTGAGAGAGTTAGGCTAGTTCATCTTGAAGACAAAGCAGGTCCAGGAAGACCTTTTTGCAGCCTTTTAATACATAAAGGGAGCTTATAAGAAAGTGAGTGGGAATTTTACATAGGCAGGCAGTGATAGCACAAGGAGGAAGAGTTTTAAACTAATAATGGAGAGATTTAGATTAGATACAAGGAAGACATTCTTTACAGTGAAGATGGAGAGGGACTGGAACAGCTTTTCCAGAAAAGCTGCGGATACCCTATCCCCAGAAAGGTTCAAGGCCAGGTTGGACAGAGCCCTGAGCAACCAGATCTAATGGAAGGAATATCTGCCCATGGCAGGGAGTCTGGAACCAGATAATTTTAAGGTCCCTTTGAACCCAAGCTCTGATTCTATTATTCCCTGTGCCCATGGGAAAAGAGAATTAAAAAAGGTGGAGGGAATAAAGGCAAAAGAGCGGTCATTTTGAACCAGTGTAAAATTTGTGTTGTATTATCCCAGATTGAAAGAATGCTTGGAATGACTGGGGCTGTGGTAATCACATTTAGCTGGAGTTTCTTTCAGCATTATTTATGGCAATAAACATCCTAACTCACTTGAGTACAGCTGATCTATGTATTATCTGAGTTACACTAAAACAGTTATTGGAATTTAATTTTAGAAACCAACCTACAAATAGGCAAATGATAATTGCTCCATTTTATTTTCCTATTTGGTGTATAACAGTATTTTGTGTGAGTGAATTGCCCATTAATAGTCTCAACATGCTAGTTTTGTAAACAAGATAGACTCTTAATTATATTTTATCTAACTGCACTGAATGTACCACAAATTAATGTGCTACATTTATCAAATGGTATTAAAAAAAAGTGAAAGAAGAATTTGATGCTGTCAAGAATGAAAGGTAACTCTTCCTAAATATTTTGAAAACTGCAAATTTTTGCAGACTGTTTTCAGCGAGACCTTTATGAAAAACAAGTCTGAAGTAAATTTACTAGGTGTTCCTAGATATATACATAGAATTTTCTTGGTTCTTTTTTTTATGTATATTTACCTCCTTGAAAGACTTTAAGTTTATATAAAAGCTACATGCATTAGTAAAAAATGTTTGTGATTGTTTTAGTATTTTTGAGAAAGGTTTAATATAAATAATCTTATTGTGTGATCCTTACTCATACAGAGAAATTTTTTGCTTCACACTTGATCTCATCTGCTTCTTCATCAATGAGAACTATTTCTGTTTGTGACTGTGACTTTCTTCTTCAAGAGGGAGTGCACTGTATCTCCCCAGACAGCAGCATGCTATCATTATTACTCACATATAGGTCAGACAATTGGTGCAAAAAGTTTAGATGTGCTTAGGTGTAGAATTTCCTAATTAAAATATTAAAAAACTGTAAAACTGTCTCAAAAACAGAGAAGGACATAGGTCAGAACAGACACAAACCTCTGTAAAATAATTATGGGAAGATTTTTGTTGCCTATCAGTATAGGTTTCTGGTACCAAATATTTACTCTATTATTCTACTTGACCTCTAATTTGAGATATCTTTGTTCTTCTGAAGATCATGTCATATGTGTTAAGGCTGTGAAATTAACTCATACATCCTAAAGTACTTTAAATGGCACTTGTTGGTCATAATTCTTTAAGCAATAATTAAAGTCCCAGCTCAGCAAAGTTGCTGGAGAACAGGATTTAGTTTCTGAAGGATAGGTGGCTTGTGCCTTTTGGGATGCTCTTAGGGATTTGAGATAGGGACTTAGATCAGGTAGTTACAATATTTTCCTTGAAGGCATATATATCAATGGCATTCTAGATCTAGATATTATGGATAGATATTTTATGGAATAATCATTTTTTCAATTATCTATGGTCCCCCACTACTGCTTGGTTATGGCTCTACCATAACCCTGTAAGAACAAATGAGAAACAAGTTGTGATTCAACCATATTTAACCTCTCATTTTCTCCCTCTTTTGTGCAGGATGGATGCTACTGAAATTAGCACTAGAGTTTGTGCAGCATGATGCTCACCTGTTCATATCCCAAGGAAATGCTACAAGCAAAGCCCTGCTCATTTTTTACCCTCACCATTTCTTCCTGCATCAACCAAACAATTGAAAACAGCATCTATTGAATGTTACAACCTTCCCCCCCATGCCCCCCAACACTTGAATGTTCTTAACATCTACAATTATATTTGAATTCCTGCCTTTATTAAGTTGTTTAGAGTCTTACGACTGTATTAAAATTTCCCACACATAACATCAAACTGAACTCTTTGGAAATAGTAAAAGGAAAGCTTGAAAAAACAGGAATGTCTTCCGCAAAATGGAAGGAATATTCCAGAGGATTGTGAAACTACACAAACACAAATCCTTCAATCCACCTTTGACATTCAGTTTTAGTCCTAGCAAATTTTATAAGTGCTTTAGGTCGGAAGTTAAAAATAATGCTTGTTCCTAGTATTTTCACAGTTACTTCAATCACAGGGATCAAATTGAAGAAGAACACATAAAAAAATAAATATTTTTGATCCGTTTCTTTTTTCCTTCATAAGGCTGTTTTTCATGGTCTAAATAAATTGTTTGCTTTTTTTTCTCAGTAAATCAGTTCTCACTTCTGATAAATTGATGTCTGGCTAACTAAAAGATTGTATTGTAGGTGACTCATCTATCACCTTTTTAAGCCTAAATTTTGCATAATTTAAAAATAGAAGATGGAGCAGAATGTGTAAAATATATTGTACCAGGATTTCCTGCCTGTCATTTTGCTTTTTCAATAGGAATCTCTATTTTGGGGAAACCAAGTTAAATCTCTATATATCTCATTTGTAAACAGATAGTATTTGCTCTCAAACAATGAAATGCAGATTGCCAGAAGCAGGCATCAAGATGTTATTGAAAAATTCCCAGCAGAACTGAGGTTTTACTCAGAGGCTTGCTACTCCAAGCATTCTTGGCAATTCCAGAAATAGATCTGCTTGTGGCAAGATAAATAAAATTAAATTTCTGAAGTCCCATTTAAAATATAAGCAAAATGTGAAGAGGAAAAAGAAGAAAAAAAAAAAGAAGAAAAAATCAGACAAGCAAAACAAATACTAATAAAGGAATTGAAAAGAAATGTCCCTGCTAGCTGTTTAAGTACAACTTTATATAAAATTATATAAAGTAGAACAAACTGAAGGTACTGTTTTCCAACTCTGATTCAATTCCTGTCAGATTATTTGAAATAGTTGCAAACTGTATTCTTTCAGTGTAGAAGATAATAGTGTAAGTTGAATATCAAGAAATACACTTGGACATCAAAATACAACCAATTAAGTTAAAAACTATGAGGTCAGATCCTGTAGTCCTTCTAATTTTTTACAGCAGGTGAGTAAATGAAAAGATGGAAGAAAAGACCCTCTCAAAACTAGTGTAAACCTGTAGCTGAAGCAATTTCTGCTGTTACTCTTTATGCTGAATATAATTCTTGAAATAAAACATAAAGTTCTAGTCAGGATCAGTTGCTGACTTATCTTGAGAAAGTTCAGCTTGTTTTGGATGTATTTGGTTTTAAGTTTTAACTCACATGCAGATCAGAGCCTTAGAAAAAAAGATTGGTAACCCTGTCAGTGAGAATTACTTTTCTGTGGATAAAGAGCTGCTGTCAAGAAATACCTGAAAGCCAGCTGGATTTTAGAAAAGCAGAACTTCAAATCCCTTGAACATAAGCCAGATCTAAGATCCTTAACTTGTGTAGGGTTATCAATTCTCTTATAAAATATTCACTTTCCCTCTTTATGGCTTCAAATCCTAAATCTCAAAGGATAGGTTCATAGACAAATGTTGCATATAGGTAAAGTCTTATTTTATAAGGTCCTTGTTACCCTTGTGAAACCATGGCTCAGGATGGCTACTTGGGCTGAGCAGAAAAGGACTGTGGGAAAGTGGCTCAGCTGAATTCGAGGTAGGAAAACAAGCTATAACACCATGGGGTGTTCATATCATGGAGTATGGTGGTTGGTTGGATTATGTTTGTTATGATTAAAACCATGTAGCTGAAATTGGGCTGAATGATTAAAAAGGCCTGTATTTTGAAATAAAAATTCATTCTTTTGCGCAGGTCTGGGGATTCTGCGTTGCTTTGCTTCATACATATGAAGACAATCATTTGACTTGAAAGTGACTTTTAAAGGTCATCTAATCCAACCTCCCAGCACTGAGCAGGGACAACTTCAACTGGATCAATTTGTAGCTTGCCCCACGTTTTCTCTTCTTTAGCATTCGTTTGCTTAAATCATAGAACTGTGCAATGATAGAGCTGTTGGGGGTGGAAGTGGTCTCTGGAGAGCACCAGCAGAAGTTTGGTGTAAGACTGCATTTCAGAATAGGGGAGAAATATTCCCATTTTTCCATATCTATGTATTCCCAATGTGGAATATCTAACCTGTAGGAAGAGCTGATTGGAGGGTTTAATACTGATTAGATCCTCCTAAATACATATATTTTCCAGGCTATAGAGATACATTTCCCTGCATATAGAATCTATGACTGCCTTTTGCAGATACCAAAGACTTTGTAGCAGACAAGAAAAGGAAATATTTTGGTGTTCTCAGGAAGAATCCAAGCTCTGGTATCTCATCAGATTCAGGCATCCAACTGCAATAAAGTACACTTCAAGCTATAGGGCTTCCTGCTTGGGCCTTGCTTATTGACTCCCTGAAAAGGATTCCATTTTGCTAAAATAATTATTTAGTCAGCAACAGGAATTGAGCAAACATGATTCTGCAGTATGGCAGACATTACAGGACTGGCAGAATCTAGTTTGATTAAATTCACAAACATTTTAGACTAAGAAATAATGGAGAGCATGAATGAAATTTAATCTCTTCCTTCAGAAAGTATAATATAAATTAATGCCACAAATTTCAATTAGTTATGACAGATGTGCAATCTTTGAAACAAGGGAGCCTCTGCTTTTAAACTTGATAATATCAATAAGAATATAGCACACCAGTATTTTGTTCATGCACCTTGAGTGCATGATTTTTCACATACAAATGTCTCTGTAATTTTTTAGATTGTACCCAGACACACCTCTCCATGGAAATGTTATGCTTTTACATTATTTTTCTCCTCACTACCCATCACTTTATTTAATTTTAAAATATTACCTGCCACTTCAGAAAAAGCACATTTTTTAGGACAATAAATTTCAGGATAACCCCACATAACAACTAGCACTATTGTACTGTGAGTTGCAGCCTATAAATATGACATTTCAAGAGCTAGGAAAAGGTAGGCATATAACACTTTTAAAATTCTCATTTTCATCAGTCTCTTGAATACCTAGATCTAGGTGTTAGAGTAATTCAAATAAATGTGACTCATTGTAGTACTCTGGTTATATTATTTCATTACCTCAAAATAGAAATTTATTATTAAAATTCTATTATGGAACAAATTTTATACTCAATCTGTTCTCCTTGATGATATCCCTTATTGCTTTATTTGCTTCATTGTCATCCTAATTAACAGAAAAAAAATCAAGAGAATCTTACTTGACTCCATTTTTGAGGAGTGCTACATAACTAACAATTCTTGATGAATTCATGACTTCAAAAAAATTGTAGTCATGGATTCCTCTTGAAAATATTCCCCACGATTTTGACCCTAAAAGACTTTCCACAGTGTTGGAATCCTATCATTAGATATCATTTATATTTTTTTGCAGCTTGTGATTCTGTAGTAAGCTCAAAGTGCAATATACTGCTACAGTCTTAACCAGTATAACTGAGTCTGGTGGTGCTGGATTCTCTGATATTTGAAGATGAATGCTTCAGCTGCTGTAAAACAATCTTCCATGCATTTTTTTTTTTTTTTTCTTATATGGAAATGCTTCAGTGACTTTCTTTACTTCTTGAATTTCAGGCTGCTACACATACATGGCACATTTTTTAAAATATTTCTTTAATATATGTATTGTCTCTCACATAGCATTAACAGCAAGGAACTTCAAAAGTTATCTCTGGTCTTTGAAAGCTTTTATTTCTTTTGTTCAGTTTCACCAAGGACAAAAAAGGACATTGACAGGGTTTTTTTCATTGTTTTGTGAAACAAAAGGTTCCCATTAAGGTGAATTCTTCCCAAAATACAAAATCAGAATTATTTTTTTCTTATTTTATATATATATATATATATATGTTTAATATGACTGTGGTCTTTGAGAAATTTATTGGCAACCTTGATTTATAATACACAATGACCTAATAAGGAATTATGAAGAAATATTAGGAATTAAGGCTTATGTAGATGAATGATGAACCAGGAGCGACAATTAATTTTGTATAGTTTTAACCCTAATGTTATTTTCAGTTCACCAGCTTCTTGCTGCATAAAGGCTCATTGTTCCCATATCTTCCTCTGTCAGGTCATCTTTATGCTCAGAAATTAATATACTTTAAAAAAACAAACAAAACAACCACAAAAAATAATCTTACCTACAGAAGGGCATTCATTGACCATCCTTCTTAAAAATACTGACTTTTTGACTTGTCTGGGGCAGAGTCAGCAGCCAGATCATGAGCTAAGCTGGCTGTTTTCACAGTAAATGTACTATGAAGAAATTGTTGTTAGGGGTGGAAAGCTGCTTGGCCATTCAGAGAAATGCAGACCAGGTCACTGGAATCTGCCAGTCCCAGTCTGCAGTTGCTAAGAGTCTAGAATAAGCATGGACTGTGACTAGTTATATAGAATTGAAGTCAGAATAGTGCTATATGCATGGAATGGATCCTTGTCTTTGTAACTGTAGTTGTGATGCTCTGGGTTATGAGGGCTACATTTATGTGCGCTCTGAGTGCTCTTAGTAAGCAGTTTCCAGTGGGCCAGGAACTATCTCAGTAAAGATCTCTGACAAACAGTGGGGGAGAATCAGATCCAGAGGCATATACTGTGCAGGCTATGTGTCTGAGTCCAGGTAACTGTGGGATTCACATAACATATATATCTATTTATTCATTTGCTTTTATAGATACAGCTAGATGTTTCACACATGCACACATACAGATACATGCACACACATACATACATATGCTTATGTAGATATCCTTATCAGTGTCAGCTGACAAGGAAATGGTAAGAAGCTGCTTTATAAGTTCAGGCTGGAAATTAAGAAAAAGTTCTTCACACAGAGGATGGTCAGAGACAAGCTTTCCAGGGAAATGGTCATGGCAT